TATGGAAAATTGTGCTCTATACGTGTAATAAGAATTGTAATGTATTCCACTGTCATGTATCTAAAAAAATAAAATAAACTATTTTAAAAAATAAAAATAAATTTTTTTAAGTTTTAATGGTCTAATATCTGAGCTTCCTTAGGGATGCTGATTGTCGATTTCTTCTTTTTTCCCCATGATAGATCATAGTCATATACTTCCCTGCTTGTTTCTGCTTTTTTTTTTGTGTGTGTGTGTGGGGGGATTTGTTTGTTTTGTTTTGTTTTTGTATACTTTGTAATTTTTGTGTTGGGGATTTAGGTATTTTGAATATTGTAATGTTATAACCTGGACATCAGATTATCTTCGCACTCTTCAGTGGACTCCTGATACTGCTTTATAAGAGCTGTAATCATCCATTTGATCAATGGTTTTCCAAACTATTTTTGAAAAGACATCATTCTTTGATACTGCTTTATAAGAGCTGTAATCATCCATTTGATCAATGGTTTTCCAAACTATTTTTGAAAAGACATCATTCTTTGCTGTGTATGTTCTGTTCACTAAAGTCGGTCCTGTTATCTCTCTGGTCATCCAGTGACTCACAGAGATTTCTGTGAATGCTCATCACACACCTCTCCCCTACATGCTGTCAGTGTCCCAAGAAGATTCCTGAGTTATGAAGCTGCTGAATCAAACAGTTCTTTCCTCAAAAGTTGTTTCATCAGTAGGACCAATTACTGGAACAATGGAATATTAATGAGTCTTAAAAGAAAGGTAATTCTGACACTCGATACCCATGGGGTGATACTATGTTGAGTGAAATTAGCCAGTCACAGAAGGACAGATATTTCATGAAATGATTCCCCTTACAGACCATACACGGAGACAGTCAACGTCATAGAGATCTAGAGCTAGAGATAGTCACCATTCATAGAAGCTGGGTGGCTTCCAGGAACAGGGAGGAGAGAGAAACAGGGAGCTACTGTTAATGGTACATAGTTTCAGTTTGGGAAGATGGAAAAGCCCTGGAGTAGTGGTGGTGATGGTTCCACAACAGTACGAATGTGCTTAATGCCACTGAGCCCTAAGCTTAAAAATTCTAAGAATGGTAAACTTCACGTTGTGTATAGTTGACCTCAGTTTTTAAAATTATAAAAATGGTGATTTTATGTGTGTTTACCACAATTTTTAAAAACCCAGTAAACACGAAAAACATCCCATCCTATCGTCTCTTACTCCCTGGACTTCTCAGCAGTGTCTGTTGTTGAGCACTAAGTCTCAAGATAATCTCTTCTTAGATTTAGTGTAGCTTTGCTGTCTAGTGTTTTCAGCAAAATTTCTTTTTGCAGTCCTGGTGATTTAACTCGGGTGTTTGTACATGCTAGGCAAGTGCTCTGCCACTGAGCTACATCCCTAGCAGCAATTTCTTTTTGGGCTCCTTTTTGAAACTGAACAGGCTGGCTTATTTACACATCATTAGAATTATATTGTAGTGCTCTTGTAACTTAAAATTAATTTTGACACTTTTCTGTGTAGCTAAACTTTCCCACAGGATGCAGTGATAGGTCACAGTTATTAAAACTATCTCTGAAATAATTACTAATATCATGAACTTGAACTATTTCCTAAATGAACAAAATACATTGTTTCATTTTCTATCCTACATGTACCTTTTTAGGTAAAATGAATTTTGCTTCATTTGGGGGAGATGTACTTATGGTATCAAATGGTAATACTAATGTCTTTCTATATTTGATAAAACTAAAACATTCCTTTTTAGCCATTATCAGATAAGTTAAGACCTTACCACTTTCACAAATTGCTAATGGGAATGAAAAATGGTTCCAATCCTGTGATGGGGAATTTGGTAGCATCTAGTAAGACATGGATTTATTTTTCTGTCCTGTAAACCTGCTTCTAAGACTATATCCCAAATCCATCCTGGCAAATAAATAAAAAGATGTATGAACAAGGCTATTTATTGCAATACTAAATACATTGCCAATAACAAAATACTTAGGAGCCCAAATGTCTATCAATAAGGATCTGATTATTCTAGACAGTGATAAAAGAGAAGACTGGGTATTTCTATATACTTTTTTGGAAGTGTCTATATTGAGTGCAAAATAGGTGGAAAAAATGTGTGTATTATGCCATTCTTGCCTTCAATGAAAAATCAAATGATAAAAGGATAGAATATAAAATTTAAACATAAATGATTACCTTTTAATAAATAAGAGGAAGGAGAGGAAGAGAGAAGACAGATTAATGACTGGATTTATTTGAAACTTCTTTTATTCTTTTATTGATTTAACTTTGGATTCCTTTTATATAATTATGAAATTTAGTTTTAGGATCAATGCCTAGTAAAAGATTAAATAAAACAAAGGAATTCAGGTTCCTAATGTATAGCATAACCACACAATAAGAAAGGAAACATTTGAGTTTATAACATCATAATTTGACTCTTCTTTGTGAACTGTACTCTAAAGATAAAAAGATCAAACTGTTTTCAGTAGTCATCCTTTTGGTGGTTCTATTGGCACTGTTATTTTGAAACTGTTGTTGGGTATTATAGAATTGAATGCAATACATAATCATGGTGAGAACAAAGCTTTTCAACATAGTTGAAAGGTAGAAAATTGATGTAGTTAAATAAAAACCCTGTAGGTTAGAATCTGAATCAGAAACATCATTATGAACTCATGTTTGACAACTGAAACGATTGAAAACAATGACCATCCAAATAGCAAAGGGTGTTTCTATAACAAAATTGTAATTATCTTAATACCACTGTCATTAAAAGGAATCTGCACTTACTATAGAAATGACTCTATATGTGAGCAAGGAAATATATAAGATGATCCTGGAGCCTCAAAAAGCCTGGAAGTAAGAAAGCTATCAATCTATCAGAGGACTCTCTGGCTATTGATATCATTGATTACAACACAGAGCATTTATGTCTCTGTTTCATATGACCAGAGACACAGACACCAAACAAAATATCTCATTAGTTACTTTTGGATGATGCTTTGAAGCCAACTATGTTTTTATAATAAACATATGTTAAAGATTATATTTAATTTCTTGTTTAATGAGGAAACCAATAGGACAATACAAGCTGTTCAAAGGAGAATTCAAAGCCAGGTACAGTAGCACATGCATGTAATCCCAGCTACTTGGGAGGTTGAAACTGGAAGATTGCAAGTTTGTGATCAGCCTGGGCAATATGGTGAAACCCTTTTTCAAAATAAAAAAAAAAAATCAAATGGGATAGGGTTGTATCTCAGTGGTAGACCACCTCTGGATTCAGTTCTCAGTACTGAAAACTACAACAACAAAGAATTCAAATATTGTGTTGTATACATAGGCAATCAAAAGTGCAGAAATATATAAATATATAAAATTAGTCATTATCTATAGGGTGATAATCGGTTACGTTACACCAGATAGAATTCATTTATTCATATTGTCAAAAATTTTTTGTACACCTATAAATTTTCTACAACTTTCAGAATTTAAAAATACAATACAGAAAATGAAAGGCACAAATAGTTCAGAAGTGTACCCTAGCAAGATATTTTTATTTTTATTGTTGCCCATTTCAAAGTCTTTAACAACTTTTTTCTGGCAGTTTCCTTCCTTTGTATCATTTTATTCTTAAAAATTATTCTTGATCACAAAAAGTTGTTTTATTAGATGTGGAATAATTATTTCCATAAGTGCAGCAGAGTGTTACTTAACCATATAACCATGTAATTTGAGCATTATAGCAACTAATTATTTAAAAATTTGGAAAATGAACAGAAAAAAATATATCTCATTCTTTTCCTGTATGAACTCTATACCTTAAGACAACAAAACTATTGATGAAGGAAAGTCTCTGTCTATAGATGTATTCCTACTAAGAATCAGACTAGCATTATTTTGGAAACTATAATAAACTAATTTAAGAACCTTTGCCATCCTCAGAAATGACTGTTGGGACATTTGCCTTGCATGCTCAGAAACCTTGAGTTTGATCCCCAGCACTGCCTCTCCCCAAAAGCTGCTAACATCACACAAAGACAATATCTACCTTTTATTAGTATGTATTAGTATGTATTTGGTCTAAATGTAATCATCAAATCACCAAATTATAAGACACACAGATGCTAGACAAACAATAAGTGATAGAAGGCTACATTAGAAAGTTTAAGCTGCAGAAAATTCTATGGGACAAATGGTTTCTTTGATAACTTTCAAGGAAACAAAAACAATAAAGGGAGAAACTCATAGATTAAAAGCTGCCTAAGATTCAGAACAAACCACTTGTACTCTGTTCACTATATCCCATGTAAGCTGTTTCAAAATGAAAAATATGGGAATTACTGGGGAAATGCAAACTCTTGAACATTCGATATCAGTGAATAAGTATTATGGATATGATAACAGTATTTTGATTATATTTTCAAAAAGTGTCATTACTTTAGAAGCATACATTACTATTTGTAAGGATGAGATTCTATTTGCTGCAAAATATTCTGGAGAGGAGGGACGAAGAAACAATTGGCCATGAGTGATTAATTTTTGAAGGTAGGTTATGAAGGCCTGGAGCTTCATTATACTATTCTCTCTGGTTTTGTACATGTGTGGAATTTTCCATAATAAAATGAAAAAAATAAACTTACAGTTCTTCTAATGAATATATTTTTTCATATGATTTTCTCCATAATTTATGACCTATTACTACTGAGACTATAGAATGTAAAGAATTTTCAAGTCTAGCTTCTGAAATACTTTAGCATAATATTTTTCAAGTAAAAATCAGGGCAGCTTGCTATGACTTTTCACAGAGTTTACCTTTTCTATTTAAGTTAATGTGAATTGGAAATGTTGGACATAACAATACTTTCCTTTAAAACACATGTTATTAACATAATTATGTGATCAATCAAAAGCCTTCTTAAAACCAAGTCATTTTTTTCTCTAATCCTCTCCAAGTGAATAATCAATTTTTTTGTTTGGTTTATTTCCAGATAACCTTTTTCATGCTGCTTTCTGCAGTGTGTGTAATGCTGAATTTGGCTGGTTCAATCCTTTCCTGTCAGAATGCTCAGCTAGTCAACTCCCTAGAAGGCTGCCAGTTGGTGAGTAATGAATGGAAACCTTTATTCATAGAGGTCATAGCCTTTGATTTTTGATTTTGCATGAGAGCTATTTAAAAATAATTTTATTGTACTTTTGGGTTCTTATAAACTTTCAATTCATTCATCAGTTTTCTATTTGTTTAAGGAATTTCAGTGAAGTTTATTCATTTCTATAAATTCCTCCAATTAAAACTTATTCAACTTTTAAATCAGTTTCTAATAAATGTATTTTATTTTATTATTTTTGCAGTACTGGGTCTTCAATCCAGGTTTCACACATACCAAGCAAGCAATCTACCATTGAACTATATCCCTAGACCTAATAGTTTATTTTTAAGGACCTCTAGTGTAGTGCTATTTTGCAATAAATATCTTCAGTGACTATTATAGTTTAATATTGATTGCATTAATTTTTATTTGCACTGAATTTTTAAAAATCATTCTTACAGTAAATTTTAAGTGCTTGACAATGAGTGCATCAAAACAATATAGTTCTCAGTTTTTCAATTAAAAAGAGAATTTTATTTAGGAAATTGTAGACAGTATGCTATGTACTTTGTAAAGGGTCTGTTTATTGGATAAAACTGGCCCTTTAATTTTGAGGCATACTTAGAGCACTTGTCCTGGGTTTGATCCCCAGTACCTCCAAACAAAAGAGAATAAAACCACAATATCTCATGATTGCAATGTATTCATCTGGCTGGGACAGCAACTGAGTGTGTATGGTGCACTCAAATATGGATCTTCTTGGACTCCTGATTGGACTGTGATTCCTGAGTACAGGAGCATTGGCATTTGTTTCTTTATCTTGGAGACAATACTAGGCTCCCTTTCATGTACCTGCTCTGCCTATTGGCTGTGGTTCTGAGAAGTCAGTAGTGAATTGCCAGAAGTTTTTCTGAAGCAAGGCCATGCCTCCTTGTCCATTCATTGAAGCACCTACTGAGTTACAAAAAGTAATTGTTGGAGCTTAATATTGTTATTTTCTGTTTGATGTGGCCTAGAGAACACTGATCAGATTTCATCCAATACCATGTGCACAGAAGTTTCCTCTGTGTGCTGTAATCTTCCCTGTTGATTACGAAAGGCTGGCTCAACATGAATCTCCATCTCTGTCAGAAGGATGACATGCCATTCTGTATCCATTACTTGGTCATCTTCTTTATTCTAAATAGTAGGTGTCACAAATATGGTAAAACATGGTGGCTTATATTTAATGTCTTTAGTGACTATATATATAAACAAATAGAAAGGGATTGGCTATTTTTTCTGGGACTCTTATTTTCCAGCGCAAAGCCCTGTATGAAAGAAGCAAAGTGAAAGGAATGAGGCAAGGCCCAGACATCATGCCTAGTCCTTAAGGGTTTCCCCTCATTGATCTTAATTTTGCTACCTTGTTGCTGCAGGAAAGGATAAAGAAGGAAGATCTTGTTTCCTCTGTTCCTTCTGCCTTCAGTACCTCCACAAATCAGTGAAAAGAACATCATAACACCCACAGATGTGAACACCTTTGCACTCTCCAGCATCTCTTTGGTTAGATGGTAATTGGAATCCTAAGTATTTATCCTACTTCGAGCTTGATCCTAGGTGTCTCTCTGCCAGGGCTCAAACAAGGCCAGTAATTTCAGAGCTTCAGACTAGTATCTTCACTTGCTTAGGGGCAATGCAGGCAGTAGAAAGAGTTCTGGATTTGGAGTTAACAATCTACAATGGAAGCCATGGCTTCATGACCTACTACTATTAGGTGACTTCACATAAGCCGCCTTATCTCTTAACTTTCTTTTCATGTCCTGTTACACATGTTTACCTGCCTGAGGTTTTTTAATAGGCTATTAAATTAGATAAAACCTATAAAACATGATAGATTAAAAGTATGCATTTTCCTGTTACAAAAATTACATGAAAATTCAGAAAACAAAACACTCATAATTCTTTCACCTAGTTTATTATGCCTATTCATCTTTTCTGGGTACAATGTGTAAATGTGTCTGAAAGTATGTACATGTGTACCTGTGTGTGTATTACATATATGTTTGATATACTTGAATGTGCTATAATCTTCCTGCTTTGTGATTTTTGAAATAGATAATAAACATTGTCCTATGTTTTTAAATGTTTCTTTAAAACTTCATTTGCAATGGCTGCTCTGTATGTGTGAACATAATCTTACTTATTTAAAATATCTGCTTTTTGTGATCATCTTCATATAAATTCTTTTTATAGCTCCTAAAAGTACATTTGCCTGATCACAGTGAATCAATATCTTTAGAGCATTTGGTGCATACTGACATGCTGCCTGGTAGGAAAGCTTACCAGTTTACTCCCAGTGCATAAGAATGCTCTTCTCCCTACACCCTTGGGAGCACTAAACATTGTCACTCATTTTAATCATGTCAATTTGAAAGGTATAAGATGATATCATTATTTTAATTTGAATTTCTTTGAATATTAATAAGATTGAGCTTTTTATTCATTTATAATTACATATACATAAGGTTAGGTTTGTTTATATACATATTTGTATTTGTAAACCATTTATACTCATCTTCTTTTGTGAATTGCCAGTATGTAGTACTTACCCAGTTTCCCAGTTTGGGGCTTACATGCTTATTGATTTGTAAGAGCACTTTATCATAGTTTTAATCCTTTGGCTTATATTGGACAATTACATTTCCTCTATATTGTTGATTGCATTTTAACTTTATTTTTTGATGCAAAAAAGGTTTTGATTTTTTTATATTCAAACTTAGCAATGTTCTCCTTTCTGCCATTACCTTAGAGTCATGCTGAAGAAGACCTTTTCCTTCCCGAGATCGTTTTACCCCAGTCATCACTGGTTATGGGGTACTCTTATTTTTTGATAGTAACTCTCCAGTATTCAGAAATATATTTGACAAATTTAACTTTTTTCTCCCCACATGGTTAGGCAGTTTTCCTAACATCATTTTCTGAGTAACCTAGTACATCATTTGTGATATGAAATACCACCTGAATCATGAAGAGTCCTATGTACCAAGCAACAATAACAGAACCAAAGGTTTTTTTAGTCTTCTATTGATTTTATTTTTTTAAATACATGACAGCAGTGGAAAGCATTACAATTCTTATTACACATATAGGGCACAATTTTTCATATCTCTGTACATAAAGAATGTTCATGCCAATTTATGCCTATATACATGTACTTTGTGGGGTTTTTTTGCATTGCAATTCTTAATACACATATATACCACAATTTTTCGTATCTCTGTTTGTATATAAAGTATGTGGGAGGGATGATGGGGACTATACAATAACTGAGGGATCTAGAGACCAATCTTAGAAACTGGTTGCTAAGGAAGCTTCTGTTGGTTCGGGATTCTGACTCAGAGAGAGGTCTTTAGCAGGAACCCTGAAACCCACAAGGTACAGTTCTGCAGAAGAGAGCAATTCCAATGATTCTTGACCTCTTGATCCATTTGCTTTTGAGTCAAAATCCATGGAAGACACAGTTGAGAAGGGAGCAATCTTTTCTAATAGCTGGTAGGGCACACTGGACCCTACCCACCCATCCCAGATTTTAATCTACTTCCTAAAAATTTGTTTAGTCATCTAAATGAGCTTAGGATTTTTTTTTTCTTTTAGTAAAGACTCAGAAGGAATGAATTTGAGATTTGACTTGGAATCATATTATATTTATACCTTTCCTTGAAGGAAAATTAACATCTAAACACTATCATGTTTTCCCATGCAAGAGCATAGCATATGCTTTGGTTTATCTAAATATTTTTTAAGTTCTTCACTCTAGTTTTTGTTTTTCTTTAAAATACCTACTACATTTCCATATGGTTGTATAGTATTTGTGTCTTTTCACTCTGTGTGATTTAAAATTAGCTAGTTTCTTTCCATCAAAAGTAAATACAGGGCTGCAGTTGTAGCTCAGTGGTGAAGCGCTTGCCTTGCACATGCGAGACACTGGGTTCCATCCTCAGCACCACATAAAAATAAATAAATAAAATAAAGGTTTTGTGACAATCTACAACTAAAGCAAAACATATTTTTTTTAAAAATGTAAATACCGGAAAAGTAAAATACTTTTTAAAAAATAACGCCCAGGATTGAATCCAGGGCCTTAATGCATGCTAGACAAGGGTTGAACCACCAAGCTATATCCCCAGCTCTAATTTTTAATATATTTTTTAAAATTTTGAGACAAGGTCTCACCAAGTTGCCCAGGCTGGCCTTGAACTTGTAATCCTCCTCCTTCAGCCTCCTGAGTATCTGCAATTACAGGTGTGTACCACAGCACCTGGCAAAGTAAATTCTTTTTTTCTAGACTTTTAGGACCTCTCTCTTCCAGAAGTAGCCACTGCTAACATGTTTAAAGAAACTTCCCAGTCATTTTCTATGCATATTTTTGTGTATATATCACATGGGGGTCCACTCTGCACATCATTAGTCACGTTGCTTTTGGCAGTCAACCATGTAGCTTGGTGACATTTGCACATCAACACTTGGAGATCTTCTTGAGTATTACAGAACAGCAGAGAATTCCACTGAATGGATGCATGATAATTTATTTAACCACCCCCTTAAGGTTGGAGATGTTTCTAGTCTTTTGCTGAAATGAACATGGTTGAGAATATTACCCTTTGCATACATCCGTTACTCAACCAGAATTGAATGGTACTGGCACTGCTGGGGAGCTGGCCCAGGTGCTGAGTGTGTATTATTGAAGAAGATAGGAATGTGCTAACCAACCTAGAGAAGAAATTAGGAAGAGGGTCCTAGTAGTCAATGCATGTGCATCCACTTTAAATTTATAATTTTATTCCTAAACTGTCCTCCCAACTTGAGGCACCATCTTACACCCTTGCCAACAAAATGGGGTTGTGCCTGATTACCCAGATCCGTGCACACTTTTATATTACCAGAATTTTTTTTGTCTTTGCCAATCTAACAAAAATTTAAGATTTTATTATATAATATTCATTTCTTTAATGAAAGTGAAGTTGATCATC